AAAGTCATGAACTTGCTAAATATTTTATATCCAATGCCAAACAAATGAATTTTTAATGAATGAAACAAAATTCTAAATCATTGTTTTCAATAAGTAGAAATATGCTTTTGTATTTAAATAATTTAGTAAAGTAAAGCAAAATACAACATGCATAAGCTTATAAAATAATGCATATGCAATTTTGGACATATCGTGTTATTTATTAAAATAAACTATACTTATATTGTTATCTTATATTGTTTTAATTTTTGGCACATCTCAGCTATTTTTCGGCAATAATATTGTAGATATTACATTTTTAACTTACCGTAGGGTAGTTATAGTAATCGGCCAAAAATCGAAAATGAAAATTTTTGCTTTATCTTCACGTGTGTGTTTTGTATGTCCGCATTTTCTCGTTGCCTCTATTTCATTTTATTTTTTATTTTTTTATATTGCGCACTATTAACTAATCTCTGTGAATTAAATTTAAGATAAAATGTGCCGATGAACATTTCGTTTTCCTCTTTAAACATTATGAATATCACGCCACAATGCACATTTCAACTTGCATCAACGTTAGTTTTGTTAACATTACATGAAAGCTCTCGAAAGCTCTGACGCTCGGATAAGTATTCACACGTAATGGCTCAACTTTCCTCAAGAGGAAATTTATGCTTTGTGCTATGTAAATAGAATACAATATAATGAGTATCTGCATCACATGCGGAAATTTAATGCGAGCTATTTTTATAAAAAATATATTTAAAATAAAGTTATATGGAAGGTATGTGCATCTCTATCTTTGTATTTTGTCTGTATATAGAGATATAAAACATAAAGAATGCACCACATTTCTTTATGAATTCATAATTATTATAGTAAAAATTATTTATTTAACACAATGCATTTTATGTACAAATTTGGAACTAGTCATTTTAACAGTTTAGGGTTATTAAAAAGAGGAGCTAGGGGCTATTTGTCACAGGGCTAACTAGTAACAGGCGTTTTTCTATAGAGTCTTAAACGTTAATAAAATATTTGTTTGTTTCCATTGGACATGTAAATCGTCCAGCATAATACTAACCCGCAATAAACTAAACTGTGCAGATCCGTAATTTTTCACAGGTATTATAAAATTAATCTATCTCATAATTTCTGTCTGTCTGTTTGCTATAGTATTTTTAAAATTTATGTCTCTTATTATTTTAATTTAATCAATATTTGATATTGTGCAACAATTTTTGTGATTGCTAAATTGTATAAATAGTTATATTAATTAATGCAAATAATCACACCTGAGGTTATTTGTAAAAAAGAACCTTGGGTCTAGCTCTAACATATTAGAATTATTTATGGAGTCAAGTGAAAAAAATAGCAGCAATGAATAGTTTGTAAGATGTGCGCATATTTGAATGCATTATATTTGTAAACTATAATTAATCCTTTCCACTCGGATGCCGCCGCTCTGGCGACAATTTTTATATCAGTTTCGCAATTTTCGAGTGATAAGGGTTAGCTATAGTTTGAATTGATGTATGAAAAAAATTACTTAGAAACAATTCAATTTTAAGTAAATTGTAACACCACACTTTTTCTAGAAATTAAATAATTGTGAAATAATGAATAATAGTTGTGGAATTATTTTTTCTCGATTCGGTAGATGAATAGTTACAGCATCTATCCATCTTTATTTAGTAGAAATTTAATTAGTGGATCTTAATATATATATATATATATATATATAAATATATATATATATATTTAATATATATAAAATATATATATATATATATATATATATGTATATATATATATATATATATATATTAACAAAGAAACTGTTATAGTATTCCCCTATCTCTCCAATTTAGTGTCGCTGAGCAATTTTTAATTTACACAAGATATTTTTGATTTCATATTTGTGCTATATGAAATATGAAATTTCAAAAATAATTAAATTCAGATTTTACGTACATTTTGATCATATTTTTCGTTCAAAGTATCAAAATTCCACTATATAAAATATATAATATTGATTCATTCAGAAATATAACAATACCTTTGCAAATGTTTTATGAATTGCTTTGAAAAATGTAATTTTCTGGCGCAATATCAATATTTTATGTATAGAAAAATATTATAAAACATTAAAGTTAATAATAATTAACTTCCCGAAGGAGACTGATTTCAAAAATTTAAAAGCCATTTGATGTATTTCAATGAGGACTATCGTTTGCCAGTTTTGTACGACGATCTGTCAAGCCGTTTCTTTGTAATTTGAAAAAAAGTCGCCCACATTTAAGCTCATCCTACCGAACCGATTTTCAAAAATCAAAAACTGTTCGAAAGATATTAGTTGGGAATGATACTGATTAGTTTTAGGTGCAAATCTACCGAGCCGTTTTCTTGTAATTAACAGTTAAAAAAAAATAAGCCGATTTTTATGGAACTTTTTTTGGCGATATATATCATGGTCTTATAGAACTTACTGAAATATTACAAGTGGTTTAATTTTAAAAATTCATCAAAGTTTGAGAAAATGAGTAGTTTTTTTGACGTTTGTTAAAATTAAAATTAGACGATTTACTTGGTATAACGATAGAGTACTTGGTCTTGATGAACATACTAAACCATTAAAATCCAACAGAAACTGGTTCAGTTATAAAAGTTATTGATTTTTGAAAATTTGCTCTTAGAAAATACCCTGATTTAACGTGTTCGTTCGTTTTTAATTATGTGCAATAAATCCACACGGAATACTTTTAATCACTCATAAATTAATTTATTTTTTATTGATCAAGTCGATTATTCACACATATCGGAAAGTTCGTGCAACTTGCCTCAAGGCAAAATACCAATACCAACTAGTTTTATTAATTGCTTTAAGTGAGTTCATAAAGAGCATTTGTATAGCAATATTGGTCACGAGTAGGTACTTTTTGTTTAATTTTGAACCAAAATTTCAGTTGTGGCATGTTATGAAACATTCTAGGATAAATTTTAAGCCATAGTTCATATCGTTTTGACATTGATAGACGTAAGGGTTACAAATAAAATGACTGACAGAATTTCGTTTGGCAATAAGGATTATATGACTTCGAGTACCCGGCTCTAAAATTGACGTCAGGTCGCTCCATGGTCCCGATGGGTACATATTTGCGTAGGTACACTACATCAGGGGAGTGTTTAATATTGAGTCTGTATTCTTGACATACATTTAATGGATAATATAAACCCCATAAAAAGAGCAAGTGAACACGCTGATACATGGATTGACTAATATTTATATTTATTGATGTTGGATTAATTAGATGGTTTAGATCAGGTAGTAGAGCCAGCGGTTTATTGTAACAGGGCTAAATAGTAACAGGTGTATTTCAAAAAGGCTTTGAACTATATTAAAATATTTTTTGTCTCGATTGGATTAGTAAATCGTCCTACATAATATTGTCGTTGCAACTTGCTACTGTCATGTAGTAAACAGAATTGTGCATAATAGTTTCTGGTAGAAAACTATATAAATTTTTAACTTCCCATAGGATAAGTTATAGTAATAGCAAAAAAATCAAAAATGAGAATTTTTATATATCTTTAGGTTTCAAAAGTTTCTGAATATTTTAATTAATAAATAAAACATTATGCTGTGGATTTATTCATATGGGAAAAGTTCTATAAAATTTTTTAATTACAATAGTTTATATTTTAATTTAAAGTATCCAGTTTCATACATTCATTAGGAAGTTTAATGTTTATTACATTCATTAGGAAGTTTAATGTTTATATATGATCATTAAACTGTTTCAAATATCAAATTGCATGTTGTCTCATGATATGGTTAATGTTTTACTTGATTTAATTTTTCGTATAACAGTAAACATACAAATTTTATAACTCACTTTTTTAATTTACCGACATATGAACATAATACTGAATTAATAAATTAAATTAACTGATTATAATAATTGAATATAATTGCTGTAAAAATCTGTTTTTTTACATAACTCAGGGTTCAATACCACAATAAAATATTTTTTAAATTTAACCAATAAATTATTAATAACGAAAATAAATTCAATTTATATTGTTTTAAGTCGGAATTTATAGAAAAACTTCTCGTTAATAATATTCTAAATTTAGTTTTTTTCTTTCTTAATTTCTTTTGCAGGTATTTACCCGTACGTGAACCAAAATGTAATAAATATTTGTAATATATTAAAATTTAAAATAATATTGATAAAATCTATTAAACGATTTGGCTTGATACATATGGTGTAAAATTATCAAAAAATATTGAAATAAACAACATCTAAGTTGAAACTAAATCAATCTTTTAGCATATTTAAAGCTTTTTCAGAATACTGCATTATAAAAAACTTTAGAAGAAATTCTTTTAAGATATTTTTCAAGTTTCCTGTCGTAAATTTAACTTAATCTGCGGTTTTCATCACGATTTATAAAGTAGGACATTTATTATGAAAAACTCAGTGCATGTTTTCCAGTTTACGTCTCGAAAATTCTGGCAAAAATAATGCAGCAATAAATATACACATAAGAAGAGTTAGGATATTCTACATAATTTAATTTTAGTATACACTTAATGAATGTCAATAATATATTTTTTTCAATAAGTAAACTAATACACTTGATTATATATTGATTATATTCACCATTATTTTCTTTGTAATCATATTTTAATTTTTATTAATAATTTTTAATTCCGCTATTTTATCAACATTTTGCGCGCGGCCCATTTTTCAAAAATTTAATCAATTTTTATAATTAAACCACTCCTCGTAGGCCTATAATATTTTAAGGTGTTTGGTTTGACTATCAACACTATTTCCATGCAAAGTGTTATCAAAATCCGAGAAGAGTAAACCTGAGGTTCTCCTTGTCAGTAAAATAAACGAAACAGTGGTAACAAGAAAAGTTCGAATACAAGAAGTATTATTTATTATTTCGTATATGATACAAATCAGAATTAACAGTTCATATTAAAATAAATTAAATTATCTAACCTTTTATGAAATCCACAGCCATCTCCAATCCATATGTATCCTTATCACAATCGTCCAGGATATGCGCACCTATTGTAATATTTGGCAAAAGTTCTGGGTCAGAATTTACCCGATCCAAAGTGTACAGCATTGCCTCCAAAGCCTTTTGAAATACAATTAAATGTTAATTTTCAAAACTTTGTTAACAAATTATTCATTGTACATATGATTAAAATAATAAAAATAGTTGGTATTGGTATTTTGCCTTGAGGCAAGTTACATGAACTTCCCAATATGTGTAATTAATTGACTTAATCAATAAAAAATAAATTAATTTATGAGTGATTAAAAGTATTCCGAGTTGATTTATTACACATAATTGAAAACGAACGATCACGTTAACTCGGAGTATTTTCTAAAAGCAAATTTTCCAAAATCAATAATTTTTATATTTGAACCAGTTTATTGTAGGACTTTAATGGTTTAGTATGTACATTAAGACCAAGTACTCTATTGTTATACCAAGTAAATCGTCTAATTTTAATTTTAACAAACGTTAAAAAAACTAATCATTTTCTAAAACTTCGATGAATTTTTAAAATTGAACTACTTGTCGTAAGATCGTAATATTTCAGTAAGCTCTATAAGATCATGATATATATTGCCAAAAAAGTTCCATAAAAATCGGCTTAAATATTTTTTTCAACAGTTAATTTTAAGAAAACGGCTCGGTAGATTTTCACCTAAAGCTAATTAGTATCATTCCCAACAAAAGTCTTTTGAACAGTTTTTGATTTTTCAAAATCGATTCGGTAGTATGAGCTTAAATTTGGACGGAGAGTTTAACACTTTTTTCCAAATTACAAAGAAACGGCTAGGCCGATCGTCGCACAAAACTGAGAAACAATAATCCTCATTGAGATACATCAAATGGTTTTTAAATTTCTGAAATTGGTTCAGGCGTTTTTAAGAAAATGTCGATTGAAGGTCTGATTTTGACAAATGCCAAAAAACGATACTAATTTTTGCAAACTTTGACGAATTTTTAAAGTTAAACGAGTTGCCGTAAGGCAGTAATATTTTAGTATGATCTATAAGACTATGGTATCTACCGTTAAAAAAAAAAGATAAACATAGTCGAATTTTTTTTTTTAAACTTTATTACAAGAAAACAGCCCGGCCGATCTTTACCAAAAACTAATCAGCACGATTTCCAACCAATATCTTTCAAACGGTTTTCGAATTTTCAAAGTTGATTCAGAATTACGGGCTAAAACGTGGACGAAATTTTTTCACTTTGAAGCCGTTCAAGTATTACGTAAGCAATATAGGGCGGCGGGGGGTTGTTGATTTGCTTATTTTGTTGAAATGGGAGGCAGGGGAGTCTGGATGATGATTACGTCATAGGTAGTATCTATATTTTTTTTACATTAATTGCAAAATGTTTACGTAAGCATGAGGGTAGGGGATAAAAGCTTTGCATACTTTTGCTGACAAGGGGGATAGGGAGGTAAATAATTGTAATAAATCTGCTTACGTAATACTTGAATGATCCCTTTCACATTTCGGCTTAAACTTTGTATAATGTTTTTCAAATGTTGGAGCGTATATATGAATGTATGACTACCTATTATATCGACTATTCACGATTTACAATTCATAGGCACGTGACAAAAATAGAATTATCAAATAAGAAATATTAAAAAATACCTGAACTCCACCCTGAGGCATAACTGGTCCGCACGTCACCGAGTCTTCTCTGGAATGCACCATCATCAATCCCCCCAAAACTAAGTCGCCCTCCACGACCGCCGCACGCTTTACGGGCCACAATGGAGCATTGACACCACTGCCCGTTTCAAATAACTCTCCAGTATCCGATACCAAGCCACTGCCACTATTATTATAAGAAAAATCATTTGATCTTTTCCTGAATTTATATTTAAAATTGTTATAGCCATTTATTTCAATTTGAGTTTCCGTAGAATATTTGAGCTGACCATTATCTCGGTTTGAGTTTTCTATTACCGGACCGCTTGTTCGAGTAAAAATAATATCTAGAGGAATCGTCGATGTTTCCTCTTTTGTGAGCGTAACAGATGCTAGAATTGATTTTCTAGAATTTTCCAATATTTTCGTGTTAGTATACTTCGGTTGAGCTTTTAGAAGTTTGTGCTTCTCATATTTTATTTCAGGTTGTGCCTTTCTTGCTAATATATGATGGTGTGTCAAGCGTTTTGCATTTTCCGATTTTCCAATTCTTGTAGAATTCAGGGATATAGAAGCAACTGTCTGTTGCGAGTGATTCGATAAAAGTTTTTGAACGTTTTGAAGCGTATTGTTCGTGGATGCACTTATATTATTGAATATTTGAACATTATGTGATGCACTATAGGAGCTATTTTTATCTTGATGCATTGTTTGCTTTTCAGTAGTATATCCTTCAGATTTTTTCCGGATAATCGATAAGTCAACATTGGGATCCGATGTAGTTTCAGTATTTTTAGCAACATTTCCAGCAAATATTTTATTTTTGGTAGTTGTTGTCCGATTGTGATTGGTACTATGAATAGATGCTGTCATATTGGAATCATTTTTGGTATTATTTAATTGCAATTGCCCGGATATTTTGCTCACAAGTAGCATCGAAAGGAATACCCAAAGCCAAAATAATGACATTGCATAATTATTTCTGTCTTGTATTTGGTTTCAACTATTTCGGCACCTGAAACAAAAAGTATCCATAATAAATATAAATTATAAGAATTAAAAAAAAAAAAAATAAATAAAATATTTGTCATTATTAGTGTTACTAGTAATAAAATAAATCCCCAAATGGTGTGGGTGCAATCAAAGTTTGAGGAACTAGTGGTGTGTGGCATCGTGCCTTAAGGCAAATTGTTGGAACTTCCAGTACCCTAACGAACTGTTTAAGTATTAAATATTTTGAGATAAATTATTATAAATACATTAACATTATCTAATATTTATTTTTAAGAATTATATAAACTGAATTACAAAGTTAAAATTATTTATTTAGAGTATATTTATTTAGAACTTTAGCCAGAAATAAAATTAATATCTAAATTATTTTCGATACACAAAAAAAATTTTGAAATATTTTTTTTTCCGAAAAGCAATTATTTTGTTAAAACAAGCAGAATTTTTTTGAATCATTCAAATCGGATACTCCGTAAGTGTGTACGTTTTTAATTTCTGCTTATTTGTGAACTGAGCCAATTAAAATTATTGCTATTAAATGATAATCATATTACTGTTATCATTCAAATTTAAAGTCATATATTAAAAGTTCTTTGCCTCATTTTGAGGAAAGTATGATATTAAATTTTTTATACAAATCGTAATGCGTAAAACTTGGATTTTATCATGATCATATATTAAATATGAGCAAAATTTTAAGAGAAGCAGATAATCTTAAAATAGCATAATCATAAAAGAAAGTGTTTAACTTAATGAGTAATTTTATAAAATCAAGTTTCTTATCAAACTTTAAAACACTTTTGCTTAAATATTGCAAGAAAATACTCGAATTGAATTTGAAACACGTAGATAAAAACATTAGTCGAGTTCTAAAATTAAAAATATGCTATACCTGCAACAAATATTCTAAATTACCGAAAATTAGTTTCGAAATAAACTTCAATTTAAAAGTATATATTATCATTGTATTGTATACAATACTATATATAGAATGAATAAACTCAAATCAAGTTAATAATATATTGTTGTTATTCTTAAAAAATTAAATAGTTATTGAAATACAATATTATTTTACACATTACTGAATATTTAATAGAATTACTGAATGCCTTCTTGGCTGTTGTAATTGGTAGGAAATAATAAAAATATATATTAGGTTGCATTTTTCTATTACTCTATGAATCATTTATTAGAATTTATAGCATTTAAAATATATCACTAATGATAAATAACTTTCCTGATAAAAAATTAAAAAAAATAATTTAGTCATTATTTATAAAAAATTATTTTTTAAGTAAATAGTTAAAATTATATAATTATCAGTAAAATATTGTGAATATTATATCGAATGGTAAACAACTATTGAGTTGTTTTTCTAACATGCGCCTTTAGTATACAATGTTTCTTTACGGCCGACAATTGTAAATTTGACAAATTTATTGAATGTTCTTAACTGGACGAATAAAAAAAAGTCTGATTTTTACAAAATCAAAGTTTCACAATACAAATTTTGCATTTCGAAACCACTTTAACGCAAAACTAACACAACATTGAGAGTCATCAAATTTTATTTTGCAAACAAATCTGTTGCATTTCATGTATTTTGGATATTGATGAATAAAAAAAACAAACGAATTTTTTATGCACTATTTTATATGTATCATGTAAATCACTATTTCTTCAGAAATCAGATTTGGAATATATCTTCCTATGATTACACTTGAAATCATTCGCCGATTTGCGAAAATGACAGAAAACGTAGTCACATTAGTATAAAACTTTTCTAGGGTATATATATATATATATATATATACACCTTACTACTGTTAGAATTTGATCGATAGAAGTTACTGTTACTGACAGCAAGTTTTGGACATTAAATGAAGTATTTTAACCGATTGCTACAAAAGAAATTTTGGCAATGATTTAGACAGATAAATACATATATTCCACCAATACATTCATCCAAACAATATAAATACGTTTGTTGACTTGTTTCATTTATGTAATTCTAATTTGTTATTCGGCATATATTCATTATTATACGACATGCAACTATGGGAATCAGCATCAAAATCAAACGTATTAAATATTCAAAGATGTTGAAATAAATTAACCAAAAAGTTTCGAAATTGGTTAATCCATAAAGACGCATCAACACAGTAAGCAATGAAATACGTACTCATTCAGACAAATACAAAAAGCTTCTTCGTGGATCACCCGAACTCCTTTACCAAATAAATTTGCTACAACACTACTAGAGCCAGATCGAGAAAAAAGGTCATTATATATTAAATTCTGTCAATTTCAGAATCACTGACATTGGTCAGAAAATTTTGTGCTTTCAAAATAATACTCCTTATCCTGTACCTAAAATTTTCAATTAAAATTAGTGTAAAATTATCACACAGTGAAAAGTTAGAAGAATCAATAATTATATAATTGTGAACAAATCCAACGCTATTTGTTTGAATTTAAAGTATCGTATCATTTGTTGAATTTATGTGCCTTTAATAAGTTGACTAATCATGAACAAATTTCTAATAGTGTACTTAGTATTTTAAATTCTATATCAATATCCATAGTTTTATATTAAAAATTGACTATTATTAATTTTCTTACAATTTTCTATAAGATGCAGCACTACAGACACTACTACTATTTAATTTATTTTCTTGAAAAGCTCATATTTTTGGGTTCTTTCTATGGCTCATCGAAATGAGCTTAAGAGCTTATATAGTATGTTTCATGTTGACGTACCTTTGACATAACCCGGGGTCATATATTATTACTTACATCTTTGTGCCTATAATAAAACTTTCATATTTACGTATTGAAAGTTCTTGCACGAATGGAAAAATATGAAAAGCGCCATTCATAAATATTATTACACGTCTGAACATATACCGAATATATTTTCGAATTTCTTTGCTGCCAGGTGCTCAAATGCTTCCAAAATTATAAAAAAAAATTTCTAAATTATTTAGCTCTAAATATTAACTTTAAGATAGTCCGCAAACCAACTAAAATTCTTGTTTTTTTTTTCAAAGTAAATACTTATTTTATAAAATATGATGGATTTTTGTTGTTTTTTGATTGCGATCAAAATAAGCAAATACAATGTTCTTCTCAAAATTTTGATTTACTTGTGGCCAATTTATGAAATTCTAAAAAACAAATGGAACTTCACCCATGTTATTTTCATAAGAAAATTTGGTTGGAGTGCGGACTATCTTAAAGGTAATTTTGAGAGCTAAAGCTTTCAGAATTTTATTTTATCATTTTGGAAGCATTTGAGCTCCAGGGAGCAAAAAAATAAAAAATATCCATATTAAGGGCCACCCTAATATACATATATACTAGTTGCACCCGATCACGCGTTGCAGTTATCAAGATTTAAAATAGTGCACATATCTATTGCGGTTGATTTCGAAACTGTATTAGATGCATCATGAAGTGAAATATCCCATTCAGCATCTCAATATAGTAATTATACTACAAAAACCGAACAACATACATTACAGCACATAACACCAACAACCAACAATCGATAAAGTCAAAATCCTTAGAACATATATAACATACAATACCTAAAATAACTAGTGGGATGCATGGCATCGTGCCTTAAGGCAAATTGCTGGAACTTTCCGTAACAAAAATTATTTTCTTTTTAAAAAAGATTAACATTTTGAAAAAAAAATTACTCTGAAAAAATTAGATTTTTGAGAAACTATAAATTTTTGACAAAAATTTACTTTTTTTTGAAAAAAAAGACTTTCTGAAAAAAAAATAGTTTTGAAATATTTTGGAAGTTCTGAACTTTTTTCAAAGCAATCGTACTGTTTTAACTGCACGGAGATGAAATATCGAAGCGCGTAAGCGCCGCGTTGCCGGCCAACGGATAAACACTGGTACGGAACCCATAGGAATGTAAACAAAATTTATACTTATTGTTAAAATCTCTATAAAATATCTGATAATTTGATGTGCATATGTCCAATGATCATTTTTGACCGCCAAATGGCATTTTTTTTTACTTTTTTTACTAGATCTCCGAAACCGCTAGACCTGCCTCCATGAAAATTTGATCAGTTCTTCATCTTGTTAATAGAAGTAAAATGTTTTTTTAATTATTCAAATCGAACGCTCCGTTCTCTTAACAACTGAGTTACCGTTTTTGGCACTTTTTGCCCCATATCTTCGGAACGGATAGACCTGCCTTCGCCAAAAACTTATCAGCACGTCTCCTTATCAATACGAATCGAATGTTTTTTTGAATTATCCAAATCGCTTCATCCGTGTTCCCGAAATCGTCGACGAAAATTTGTATCCGCACACACACATGCACGCACACACACATACACACATGCATCTATTTTTATTTTACGTGATATGCAAAAATGTTCAAAAGGTTTTGAAACGTAAAGATATATAAAAATTTTCATTTTCGATTTTTTTGCGATTACTATAACTTGCCCTAAGGGAAGTTAAAAATTGTAGAAATTTATATTGCCATACATTTCGGTATATTATCTCATGTCATGTTCAGTGGAATGTAAATTTCATGTGTCTATATATATATATATATATATATATATATATATATATATATATATATACTTGTGATAATGTGTATATTTTTGTTGTTTTTCGACATATCCTGGCGGTAATATCCTTTTCCACTAATAGTCCTACAAGCTTTCGCAATTTAATCGCTACAGGCGAATCAAGTTAGCACACACAAAAACACTTTCGGCAGATTACCAACTCGCATTGCCAGTTCGTGCATTTAGATAATATATGTTTTATGCTGCATATAGATGTATAAATATAAATTTATATATGTATGTATATATATATATATATATATATATATAATGTACTGCCATATAGTAACTTATTCGACTTAGAATGTGGGGATGTAATTGAATAGTCACAAAATTCTATTAGAGAGATAAAAGAAAGAACAAGTATGTCTGAGCTTGATTACTTGAGGCAAAAAGT